CTGCAGAAAAGCACGTACATGCAGAAAATCAAAATCCGGGGTTAAGGACCTATAATCCGACCCCCAAACAAAAATTAAACGCTCGAATCAGCATCAACATGCGATTCCGAGTCCAGAGGTACCAACCTCAGTCACAATGGGGGACTGTAGACCCCCCCATTGCTCGCAACACCAGTTTGACGGAAAACCCCTCATTCTGGGTTGTCCGACTAGCCTATGACAAACTGAGCATAAACAAGCAGAGTCCGGAGACCAATCTGATATAGGAAGTTGACGGAGGAAACTGAAAGTACGGTAGCACTAGCTGGAGAAGAAAAGCTCTGAATTTGCTTGGAAACTCTGAAAACTCGAATGCAAAGGAAGCGCAAAGGAGAAAGGCAAAAGCTTTCGCCTTTTATGCTTCCCCTCAAAATTGAACGAGAAGCTTACACGTGGCACACTACCTTCCAACCGCCCAAAAACTGAAAGGTTTTTCCAAAAGCCGTGCAAAAAGCGCAATGATGGTGTCGTACAATCATTGCAAACGACATGTCTCACATTAAATGCTGAGAAGCGGTTACTAATTAAAAAGGCTGCAAAGGAATATGTAAAGATTCCTATTTGTACACATCAACATTACTACACGCCAAAAATTCTCCTAAGTCCACCAAGTATTAAAGACAACTGCCTCATCCCTCTCAAACTCATACTCTTTTACACTTAGAAAATATTCTAAGTCCACAAGAGTGGGGGACTCGTAAGTGGGGGACTCGGGAACGATATCAAAAAACAAGACTACAACGAGCCCAGAACAACACAACAATCTCGGGATCAACATCAGACAGGTATATCTCGAAAAATACACTCTGCAAACACACATTGAATTCTTTACAATTTTTTGCAAATAAATCTTATAAACCCACGGTCAGGGTCGTGGACGTAGCAACTAACCCATGAAGCAGGTTTGGAACGCAAAAGGCACGAAGCTCGAGCTCGGGCATACTTGCAGCGGGGTGTCACTTTCCTCTCCGGACTTCATGGCAAAGCGGAGTATACTCTTTTTCCTCCGTTAGGATTTTTTCCCACATGGTTTTTCCTCAGCGGAGTTTTTAATGAGGTACCCCTTTGTTATGACCACGGAGAGCAGCACCCCTGCCGGGCGCGCAAGCCCAGGAAAATGAAGACTTACTCTCTGTCACCTCAAGTGTCACTTTCACTTCGGAGAGTGGGGGACTCATGATGGAGTATATTCCCATATACCCCAGGGGTATCATAATCGACTACATTCACTTCACGGATCCATCGAGGAACATGAAAATACTAAGTCCACATCTAGGACCGACCATGACCCCGACCGCCGAGGTCGGGAAAATACCAAGCTCGGGAATCAATCAGACTTAGCAAGCAGTGAGGCCAGCCGAGCCCGACCCCGACCCCCCGAGGTCGGGAAAACACCAGGCTCAGGAATCAACCAAACTCCACAAGGTATGATCCCGACCTCGAACGCTCCGAGCTCGGCACCAGTCCCGACCTCAGGCATCAAACACAAGGTCAACCAAAGTCAAGCAACAGAGTCAACGATCTCAAAGATAGAGCCTTAAGTAGGAGGCATCTCCTCAAGTATCAAGCTTGGACCTACAGATACCAACCCCGCATATACTGACCTCGCATGCACTAAACCCGACTTCGGAGGCCAACACAAAGTCAACCAGCGCTGGAGCCAGGTAGTCAATCACCCCTGGGGTAGAACAAAAAACAAAGAACGAATTTTCTAGCGAAGGAGCCCGAGTCTCCAATCACTGACCTCGATGAACTCAAGGTTAGATCAAAGCATTATGGACTTAGACAAATCCGCAAGGACCAACATCGCAAGGAGGCATTGCCACGTCATTCCCAGCAACGGAAAAGATTCCAAAGTGCACACGCATAACCACACGGGTATTCTGGTAGCATTCAGTTAGGATTAGCTTCAATCAGCCAACTGTCCAGGAGTCTCTCTCCAATCACCTTTACACGTGGCTGCTCCCCATCGACTTAGACTGTTAGTTTGTTAGAATAGATTGGACACATGTCCTCTTCTCATTAGATCAACATATTTTTACTTCGGCACCAAGTATTGCCTATTCTAGTATAAATATCACCTTCCAGCTTGTGGAAAGGGATCGCATTCTCAATTCTCTTACTGTTATTCTGTCGGATTACCTACCTGTGCTTTTCGATCAGTTCTCTCTCTCATTTTACTTGGATTCCGACTACCCCCGGTCCGGTGATCCATCAGAATCACTGAGAGCTAGTTACTGAATATGTCACTTTTTTGAATTTTTTTAAATTAAGTCATATTTTTTTATCTTTTGTATTTAATTTAGTACTACATACGTCCCACTAACATTGGGAAAAGAGGTGACACAATTATTAAGAAAAGAGAATTTATGTGGTTGATATTGAATTGACAAAGTAAGAAAGATTTAGAACCCTACAAATTTTACCAAATTTGATATGGGACAATCTTAGTGAGATTTCTCAAAAAGGTAAAATGAGACAACCTTAGCGGAACATAAAGAGTAATAATCATGAAAAGGCCTTCTTCAAGTAATTAAAGAATATAACTTCGTATTGAAAATTGAATTTGAGATATTCAATTAAAAAATAAAAAACCAATAGAAAATTATTATGGAAAATTTAATTTGATACTCCATGTGTTTCAAAATACTTGACACACTTTCCTTTTTTTAAACGTTTCAAAATGAATGCCACGCTTCCCATTTGGTAAATAAATCTATATCAATATTGTACAAAACAGTGTCAAACAATGTCAAATAGTGTCAAAACATCACTCTACAGTAAAATTTACCCTCAGTAATTTTTTTTCTTAAATTTTGTGAAATCCAAGTGTGTCAAAGATTTTGAAACTGAGGGAGTATATTCAAGTAAAAAATAAAAACACAATTAAAAATTATAATGAAAAATGTAATATGAGATATGCAATTAAAATATAACTCGACGCTAAATAAATAAAAAATGTCATTTTGGCCCTACTCCATCTATAATGTTATTCCGCATATTAAGACTCTATTTGGTAACACAGAAATTGAACGAATTAACTATTTTTTCCGAAAATGATAAAGTTCTGACATAAATGGATAAATTGAGTAAATTTGTTGAATTATGAAAAACTACATACTCCGTATTACGAGATGAATTTTATGGAACAGAATGAATAAGGGGGTGTTTGGAACTGATTCTGCTTCTGCTTCTTTTTTAAAGCAGAAGCAGAATCAGAATCAGTTTTCAGAAGTTGGTACCCCTCAGCTTCTAAAAAAACTGATTCTAGGAGTAAATTAGAGCACCAGAATCACTTCTACATTTTCACCCAAACACTCCAACTTCTGCTTCTGCTCCCTCAATGGGACTAAAAACTTTTGTATATTCCAAAATAGGATTATCATGTTTTTATTCCCAAAATAGGACTAATTACTGTCATGTTTTGGCAGTACCAGACTTTAAACATGACAATATTTTCCAAACTTGGCGGTAATTACTCCTATTTTGGGAATAAAAATATGACAGTCCTATTTTGGAAATTTCAAACTTTTTTACTCCTATTTCGGGAATTTTTCCTCTAAAAAACTGCTTCCTGGAGTAAATTAGAGCATCATACTTCTGCACTTTTAACCAAACACTTCAACTTCTGCTTCTGCTCCCTGAAGTAACAGAAGCAATTTTAAGGATGTTTTTACTTGGAATGTTGTCAGTCACAGACCAGATCAGATCAGTTCAGATCATACCAGATTTTTATAGTTATAAAATACACAGAGACCCGACATTTACCATACCAGACCAGATCAATTAAGACCAAACCATATTTAATCCGAACAGACCAAACCAACAAATTTTAGTTCAAGTAAAAACATCCTAAGAATCATATCTAAACACCCCTAATTAGCATTAGTTTTTTGAACTATCAAATGGAGTAGAAATTTGCATAAGAGCATCTCTAATGCTACAATGTGCACGGTGCACATGTGCAATGAGGGAGATAGACACAAAAAAATAAATTTATGACATTTCTCTCTCATTCTTTCCACGTTTTTATGTGTTTTTGGTAAGTTTTTTCAATAATGTCAATCACAATGCCTACATGTAGACATTGTAGAGAAGAACTTACAAAAAATATATAAAACTGTTCAAATAAGGAGAGAAATATTTTATTCAAAACATGCCAAAAATATATAAAAACAATTTTGCATATTGAATGGAACTAGGGGTGGGCACGGGACGGAACGAGACGGGAATTAGACTATCCCGGTCCCGAACCCGATTTAGGATAACGGGACAGGACAGGACGGGACAAGATGTTGTCCCGCTATTGTCCCTTTTAAAACGGTACCGGAACAGAACGAGACGGTTCGGGACATCCCAAAAAATTGCAGCGAAAAAATAAAGCTCCAAAAAGAAACTTCATGACAAAAACTACAACACTAAAAATGCAACACATACAAAAATTTACGATAAATGCAACATAAAATATAGTAGATTAATAGGATAGTTGCACGAAACAAACCGTAATAACAACAATAACTCCAACACATACAATACTACTAAGAAACTACAAAAATAAATAAAAAGACAAACAATATTATTAGAAGTAAAACCTGTGAAGTATACGTGCGTTTCTTTTTAGTATGTAGAAGATAGTTCATACTTGATATAATTTAGACTCCTTTAGGTGTTTTACATATTAGATAACTAATACCTAATTAATATTCATTAGTATTTGAATTGATGGTAGACTCATGACTAACCCACAACTATATACAATTTTGAATTCGGAACAACGGGACGGAACGAGACATATTTTATTTGTCTCGATCCCATTTTGTTTTGAAACGGTTCGGGACCGGAACGAGACAAAAATAGTTTGTCCTGAATTTAACTAGACAATTTCGGAACGGAACAACGCACCAACCGGATAGGGGCTTTTGCCCACCCCTAAATGGAACTACTCTTCCTAGATAATCGTCAACATGAACCCACGAAGTGAATCAAAGGATTCAAAGCATTACAACAAAAATGAAAACCATACACCAGTCTCTACAAGACTACAACCTGAAGTGCAACAAATGAGCATCTAAAATGCAGCCACCTGTGCGCGTTGCATGCCATTAAGACCCCAAATTCTTTGACCATCTCCTTCCTTCGGCCAGTTACAATTTACCGCTCAAAAGCTGGCGAGACTCTGTAAGAAACAAGTTTTGGCATTCAAATTTGGATACCCATTCAAATTCTCTGCTGCACCTGCATCAAACTTTTTTGGCTCTGCTCAATGCAGAAAGTATTCCAAGAATTATGGGCTTCAGTGCCTTGTCGACCACCCGAATCCGAAAATCTCCGTCTTCTTCCAGAAAGGCTTCTCCGAGATCACCGACGGAATGACCGGAAGAGCAGTTCATGCAATATGCGTAAAGGAGTCCCATTTAGACATTTTCCACCATAATACTCTGATCAAAATGTACTCGAAGTTTGGGAGAGTTGAGTGTGCCCGTCTCGTGTTCGACCAGATGCTTGAGAGAAATGAAGCGTCTTGGAATAACATTATCTCTGGGTACGTTCTTACAGGCGGGTATTGTGATGCAGTAAGACTATTCATTGAGATGTGGGGTGTAGGGGTTGAGGTAAATGAATATACTTTTGCTAGTGTATTGACTGCATTGAGTAGGTCTGAGAGTATGTGTCTTGAAGGATATCAAGTTCATGGTGTACTCTTGAAGTGCGGTTTATTGTATAATGTTTTTGTGGGAACTTCTGTGTTGCATTTTTATGGTGTCTATGGTCCTACTTCTGATGCTGCAAACGTTTTTGAGGAAATGCCTATGAAGAATGTGGTGACTTGGACTTCTTTGATGGTTGCATGCTCTAATAATGGAAATACGGAGGAAGTTATAAGTTTATATAAGAGAATGAAGAGTGAAGGGACCAGTTGTAATCAGAACACCTATACTGTAGTGATTAGTTCGTGTAGTTATCTTGAAGGTGATTGTGTGGGTCATCAAATGCTAGGCCATGTCGTAAAATCAGGGTTTGAGGATAATGTTTCAGTGGCTAACGCTCTAATTTCGATGTTTGGTAATTTTAACTTTGTAGAAGAGGCTTATCGTGTTTTTGAAGGCATGACTGAACATGACACTATATCTTGGAATTCAATCATATCTGTTCTGGCACATAATCAACTCTGTGAGGAAGCATTTAGATGTTTCTTTTTTATGCGTTGTCAACACGATGATATAGATTCAACTACACTTTCCTCCCTTTTGTCAGCCTGTGGTTCTGTAGATAATATAAATCAAGGTAGAACAATGCATGGTTTGGTGATCAAACTGGGATGGAATTCAAATATATGTATTTGTAACACTCTTCTTTCAATGTATGCGGATGCTTTACAATGTTCAGATGCTGAAAAATTGTTCCACAACATGCAAGAGAAGGATTTAATTTCTTGGAATTCTATGATGGCTGGGTATGTTTTGATAGGTGACTTCTTCAAAGTCTTAAACTCTCTTACTGAATTGCTTCGCATGGGAAAGTCAGTAAGCTATGTGACTTTTGCTAGTGCGCTGGCTGCATGTTCTAATGCTGATTATCTAACTGAAGGGAAGATATTGCATGGACTTGTTATGACATCTGGGTTGCAAGACAATTTGATAGTTGGAAATGCATTAGTCACCATGTATGGGAAGCATGTTATGATGGTGGAGGCTGAAAAAGTATTCTTTAAGATGCCAGTAAAAGAGTTGGTTACTTGGAATGCATTAATTGGTGGCTATGCTGCTGGTCATCAAACCAACGATGTGGTAAGAATTTTTAAATGGATGAGAGAGTGCAGTGTGACCACAAACTACATTACAATAATAAATGCACTTGGCTCCTGCTCATCTCCTGTTGATCTCCTGAGTGCTGGAATGCCGTTGCATGGGCATATAGTTCTAACTGGTTTCGAGGAAGATGAGTACGTGCGGAACTCACTCATAACTATGTATGCCGAATGTGGGGATCTCAAGTCAAGCAACTTTATCTTTACTCAGGTGGCTTACAAGTCTTTTGTGACTTGGAATGTCATGGTTTCTGCAAATGCCCACCATGGCCTCTGGGAAGAGGCTTTGAAGCTTCTTCTTGATATGCAGAGGGCTAACGTGGAGTTAGATCAATTTAGCCTTTCTTCTTCCCTTTCAGCTGCAGCAAACCTGGGGAGTCTGGAGGAAGGCCAACAACTTCATTGCTTGGCTGCTAAACTTGGTTTTGACTCATACCATTACATAAAAAATGCTACGATGGATATGTATGGGAAGTGTGGTGAACTCAAATATGTGCTCGAAATCCTCCCTAAACCAAATACCCGATCACGCTTGTCTTGGAACATTTTGATGTCTACATTAGCCAGACATGGACTTTTTCGTGAAGCCAGGGAAGCCTTCCATGAAATGCTCAAGCATGGTGCAAAGCCTGATCATGTTACTTTTGTCTCTCTTCTGTCTGCATGTAGTCATGGGGGCTTAGTGGATGAGGGTCTCAAGCATTTTGCTTCAATGACTACCGGTTTTGGGGTCCCAGTTGCTATAGAGCACTGTGTGTGCATGGTTGATATGCTCGGAAGATCAGGAAGACTTGCTGAAGCAGAGGCGTTTATCAAAGAAATGCCGGTGCCTCCAAATGACTTTGTTTGGCGGAGTTTGTTGGCAGCATGTAGGATGCATGGGCATGCCGACCTGGCAAAAAAAGCTACCGACTTTCTTCTGACATCTAATCCAATGGATGACTCTGCTCATGTTCTGTATTCCAATGTCTGTGCGAATTCTGGGAAATGGCAGGATGTCCAGCTCGTTAGAGCCAATATGGAATTAAGCAGCATCAAGAAGCAGCCGTCTTGCAGTTGGGTTAAAATGAAAGACAAAATTTACACTTTTGGTATCAGAGGCGGATCCTACTCATTGTCTGAGCAGATATATGACAAACTGGGGGAGTTGAGGAAAAAACTTCAAGAAGTTGGATATGTCCCTGATACAAGTTTCGCTTTGCATGACACGGATGAGGAACAGAAGGAACACAATCTCTGGTGCCATAGCGAGAAACTTGCCCTTGCGTATTCTTTGGTTACTACCCCAGAAGGTTCAAAGCTTCGGATTTTCAAGAATCTACGAGTTTGTGGTGATTGTCATTCCGTCTTTAAACTTGTAAGCAGCTTAGTCAGGAGAGAAATCATATTGAAGGATCCTTATCGGTTTCATCATTTTAGTGGTGGCAAGTGTTCTTGTGGTGATTATTGGTAACCATGTCTACGATGTTATGGTGAGTGGTGACTTGCCAAACTTATCCAAGAATCAACCAAAAGATATGAATGAAAAACATTCTATAAGCACTGGAAGTTTCTTATGTGGGTAAGTTTTATTCATAGTAATGACAGAACTCCATCTAGAATTTACAATAGCTTGAGTTGATTGAAGTTTGTTGCCCTTCATATACTCACTTGTCAAAAATTAAATGAAACATATGGATTTAATGAGTAAGGAAATTTAAGGATGAATATTTGAGATCAGAAGTTTTACAATGATGGCTAATGGCATTATAAAACTACTGTGGTTATAAGTTATATCTTTCAAATTTTGGGAGAATTATATATAAAGTTTTAGGTTAATGGTTGAAAAAGGTTAAACCTTCACCCCAATTACAAAATTCAATTTCAGCCCTGCATGAACCTGTAAGCTTCCAGACCTCTGTCTCTGCACCTAAGAAAATTTATTCACAAACACTAAATATTCTCTGATACCACTTTGCTTTAGTTATCTCATTCCTTCAGATTGATATTTGGCATTCTCAATGACTCCTCTCAAGCTAAACTTTTCCTGTGAAGTATTTTGTCTTAATCTTTTTTCTATTTTTTTTTAAATTTTGCTCAAAGGAGTGAACTTTCTGTGCATATATCTGGACTTTCTATTATTACATATCATTGAGATTTAAGCTATTACTGAGGCCAAAATTTTGAATTTATATTTTTAGGTTACATGAGCTTAACAGTATGTAGAGTCAACTCTTATATCTACATATGTTCAATTCTTGTTATATGTTCTTTGTTTCTGTTGTTATTAAAAAAACATGCTGCTTTTTAGCTTTGGAACTAATCAGATACTGTTTTTATGCAATTCTCTTGTTATATGGCATAAAACAGTGATATACAGGAATGAGGCGTATGCCTGAGGCAAATGAATCATATATATAGAGGTCCATTTGATCACCACAAGTTTGATCCCAGTTTGATCACCACACTCCAGCCGAAATATAGGTATATTGATACTATAATCCTGATAATATGATCAGAAATCTAGGTATTACAGCTAGAACAATGAAAAAGAAGATCTGAAAAATATAATATGAATAATGACAATTTTGAGAGTGTCTATCTCTCCTGCCCAGATCCAATTGACTACCAGAATGCCTTTCTCTTCCCTCCTTTCTCTAGCTTTATTCTTTCATCATGAAGGGCCTGCCACCTCAGCTACTCTGTTATTAGATTCCCACTACTCTCAGCTTTTTCTTTTTCCCCCCTTTGCCCCTTCTTTTGTAATTGTGTTTCGTCTAGAACAAGATCAAGTCATCAAACGATAACAAACTTCTTTACTTTTGGATTGTATCTGTCTCAGGTCATTAGCGGAAAGTACGAATCAGGAGATGTCACCCAGAGTCAGTTACACCATGGTGGAGAAGGGGTCTGGCTTCTATTCTGCTCAATCACGAGGGCTGTAAGCACAAGAAAATGAAAAATGTTTTCTGTTTTCTGAATTTATTTGTTTCCCTTCTATCAGCTCACCGTCCAAGCCGTTTTCCTTGCGAACCTCGATTATCCAGATATTTTAGTTGGTGATTTATTATCCATGAACTGGTGTACAACAGCAGGAGCCACTCATCGACTTCTTCCCCATCCATGAGCCTTTTAACAGACATGTTTGCTCTCCCAATCAGCTCTGCTCCAATGGGGTTGTCCACCTTGACAGAGAAGACAATGTTGGAAGCCATATGAGCACAGTATATGTGGAAAGACTCATACCATCTGGGATTTTTGTGCTCATTCAGAAGCCTGGTTCAACCAACCCTTGCCTGCCTGGTTCGACCAACCCTTGCCTTTTCCAGTCTTCCAGATCAATGGTTGCATACAATCTGGAAGCTGTCTTGTTAAGCCCACAACATGTTCAATGCCTTCCACCACCTGCACAGTAGAAAATTATTAATAGGAAGCATCAATGGCCGTGGCGGTTTCTAATAAAGTACTGCATAATAAATATCAACTTTACATGTTAACAGTTAAGTGTGAAAAGCTAATTCACCAAACACTTTTTTGCAATCTCCAACTCAAGCCGCGAGTCAAACTAGCAGACTGAAAATGTCTAAACCAAACAAAATTGTGGAAACTCAATATAGTCCCATGGGCCATGGCATTATCCTTGGACTGTTGGTGGATGACTTAAATTGTGAGATTTGCTAACTCCGTAGTTTTTTTTTCTTTTTCAAAAAAAATCGGAGTATTTTCGTAGTTTTCTCATATATTGCGTAAATTATGTCTACTTTACTATTGATACTTTGCATGGTACAACAAGCTAAGAAATAAGACGGTCATGAGTCATGACAATATATGCAATAAGAATTCAATAAGATGCCTTTATAGTTTTATCATATGCGGCTAGGGTTGGATTCGGTTCGGGCCACCCGGCCCGTGACCCGGCCCGGTACTGTGCGGGCCCGGGACCGGCCCGGTCGGGCGGTCCGGGACCGGGTCTGGGCCCGAACCGGGGGCAAGGGGCGGGGCGGGCTCGGTTCAGCATTTGTGTGACCCGGCCCGGGTCCGGTTCAATTTAATTTTTTTTTTTTTTAATTTGGGCTCCTACTAGCCGTTGGGGGTGGGGCTGGGGACAACCCAAACGGCTATATAGCCGTTGGGTGGGGTAAAGGGGGGGTCCGGGGGGGTTGGGTGGGGGGTAAAAAAACCTATAAATACTCCTAATCTTAAACATTTTTTCATATCTCTTCTCCAATTCTTCCTAAATCCTATTCTTAACTCTCTACTCTCTAATTCTCTTATTCTCCAATATATTATATTTATTATTTATAGTTTATATTAATTATCTACTTATATAAACTATAAATAGATATAAATAGTATTATATTACTTATATTTCTTATCTAATTATATATTACTTATATATTTATTATATCTATTAATATAGTTGGAATTATATCTAATTAATTTGAAGTCATTCTATTACTCCCATCCGAAAGACCGAAAGTCCGAAAGAGGTACGAAATTATTCTATTATTTACACTTGTTTAATTAGTTTAAAAAATATGTTGTACACAAAACTAGTTAATTCACTACTTAATTTGCTATAACTCGAATTAATAGTTAGATAAATAGTTAATTAGTTTTTTACAATTTTTTATTAATTGCTACATTTGACTCTAGTTTAAAAATAATGTTGTACACAAAACTAGTTAATTCACTACTTAATTTGCTATAACTCGAATTAATAGTTAGATAAATAGTTAATTAGTTTTTTACAATTTTTTATTAATTGCTACATTTTTTAGATGGATCGTCCTAGATATTCGGTTGATATGGGTAACCTCGAGCGCAACCGAACGAACGAGCTTGCGAGGAAGAGATCCCGCAAAGGTAAATCACATCTCGGCTCTTCATCTCAAAGTCAAGATGATTTTGATACGGGTTACGTAAGGAGGGATGGGGATGCGATGACCGACGAACAACTAGAATAAGAATTGCACCGACATAATTCCCGATTTTTTCAAGACCAACCGAGGACCATTGACGAAGAAGAGCTCGAGGACGAGGACGACGATGTGGAGGAAGCAATTCCGGAGAGCCACGACGACGAGGAGGAGGAGGGTGGCGGCAGCCATGACGCCGACCAAGCAGCCTCATCCCAAACAGGTACAAAAAAAAGTAAATCTGAATTAATGGCTAATAATTTTTCTAAGTGGAAGGACCCGAACACCGGGAATTGGACCGCAACTTGCAATTGGTGCAAGAAAAACTATAGCTTGGGGATTTCCGGCGGATACGGATCCGCCACAAGACACCTTAAGTCCAAACACCCGGTGGAGTATGCAAAATTAGGCGGCGGAACGGGGAAGCAAACGCAAATATCGAGGTTTGCAAATAATCAACAAGCTTTTGGTAATTTCTCATACAATGATGCACAAAATTTGACAGGTATGGCTAACTTACTTGTTGAAGAAAATTTGCCTTATTTGTTTTCTGAAAGTCTTGCTTTTCGTGATTATGCACAAACTTGTTTAAATCCGCAATATAGAGGTTATAGTCGCAAAACGGTTAAGAAAGAAATTTCAAGGCTTTATGGTGCGGAAAAGGTAAGGTTACAAAATTATTTTGCAAACTTTGATGGACGTGTTACTGTATGTTCTGACATATGGGAGGATACTTATCATAATTTACATTATTTGGGTCTGACTGTACATTATATTGATAATGATTGGCATATGCATAAACGTGTTCTTGCTTTCCGTGAATTTAATGATCGTCACACCGCTGAACATATTTATATTTTGATTGAACGTATTTTAATTGAGTATAATTTAATTGATAAGGTGTTTGCTATTGGTTTTGATAATGCTACTAATAATACTGCTGCTATTCCTAGATTGCGTGAATTGTGTGGTTCTACTTCTTTGATGGGTAGATTTTTTCATCAACGATGTGCATGTCATGTTCTAAATTTATGTGTGCAAGATGGTCTAAAAGCGTTGGGAGCATCGTTGGAGGTAGTCAAGGGGGGGATTAGACGTATTTGGGGTAATGGACACCTTAGGAAAAAATGGCATGATTATTTGATAGAAAGAGGTGAGAGATATGTGGCTTTTCCAAAAGATTTGTCTATTCGTTGGAATAGTACCTATAAGTTAATTGGAGTTCTTCTTAGATATAAACAACATTTTCCTGCTTTTATGAAACAATATGATACTCCCTCCGTCCCTAATCTTTCTCCCTTTTCGGCTGGGCACATTTATTAAGATAGTGGGATTTGTGTGGTGGAGAGTTGTGGAGAGGAGAGAGAAATGTGTAAGAATGTGTAAGAATGGTTGTGAACCACAAATTTTTTGCTAAAAGGGGGAAGAGGAGATAATTTTGGGACGGACGAAAAAGGAAAGTTTGAAGATAATTTAGGGACGGAGGGAGTAACTATATTATAAACTCGGCTGAGATCGACACCTGTGAAAAAATTTGTAATGCTTTGATATATTTTAATAATGCAACTGAAACTTTTAGTCATGTTTATAAACCTACCTCAAACCAATTTATTCGTGAAGCTGTTAATCTCGCCGGTGCTTTTTCAAATTTTGAGAATGCTGATTATGTGAATTATTTTGCTGGTTTTATGAAGGAAAAGTTTTTAAAATATTATTCACATATTCCGCATATTTATGGTATTGCATTTGTTCTCGATCCTCGTTTTAGACTTGGTTCTTTAGAAGAATGTTTGAATTATTATTATGCTGCTTTTTTTGGTCCATTGCCAATGTATGAGGACAACCCAATTGATCCGAAAAAAGAATACAACGAGGTTAGTGATATATTTTATGCATTATTCAATGAGTTTCATGCACAATATGGCAATGCGCCCCCTCCCCCGACACAAACATCATCTAAAGGAAAATCAATTTTCAAATCTACGTTTGCCAATCTTATTAAAAAAACAAAATCAACTCCCGCTACACAACAAAGCACAATTAATGAGATTTCTTTGTATTTAACTTATGATGTTGATTTTGAAGAAGATGATGATTTTGACGTACTAAACTGGTGGAAGGGAAAAGAAAGAATGTTCCCGGTTTTAGCAAAGATGGCTAAGCAAGTGCTATCAATGCCGGTTTCAACAGTTGCCGTGGAACAAGAATTTAGTTCGGCCGACAATGTTCTAACACAAACCAGAACGAGGTTGAGCGCTGAATCTCTTGAGATGCTTATATGCTACCACGATTGGTTGAAAGCAGCACGTAGAGCTCAAGAAATTGACATCACTCCATCCCAACACTTTATGGATGAATCTACGGAGGGTGACTCTACTTATGCCGGAGATTCTGATTAAAAACAATTATAGTTCCTATTTAATTTTCAAATGTAGTTCCTATTTCATTTCAAATAAATGCACTTGAAGTTTGTTTTTTAATACTTGTATAAAACTATAAAGTATAAAATATAAATTTAAAAAAAAAATTACCCGGCCCGGCCCGGCCCGGCGGGTGGCCCGACCCGTGACCCGGGCGGGTGGCCCGGCCCGAACCGGACCCGTCCAACCCTCGGGCCGGTCCCGGGCCCACTATTCTAGAACCGGCGGCCCGACCGGGCCTAGGCCCGGCCCAGGCCCGACCCGGCCCGAATCCACCCCTATATGCGGCGTTGCATGGACGGAGCAAGAATTCCCCTTTAGAATAGGGATGGACCCGGTCCGGTCCGGGCCTCGGGCCAGGACTGACCAGTTTTTTTTTTGGTTTGTTGAGACCCGGAACCAGCACGGGTAGCTACCGGGTCGGGCCTGAGCCGGGTCGGGCTGGCTACCATATTTTTTTGATTTTCTAATTACTTCCTAACCCCCCCACCCCACACCCCAAACCAGTCCAAAACACCTAGCCCAACCCATTTACCTCCCAAAGATTTTGAAAAACAAAAAAAAATGGCCCGGACCGGCTAGTTCATTTTTTGGAGACCTAGAGCTCGCCCCGAAAAATTCCGGTTCGGGTAAAATGCTATGGATCGTTGCGCTTACTGCTACACTAAAAGCAACCGCTGATAGTGTAGCACGCCCCTCTCTCTTTAGAGCACAAGTGAAGCGTCACACGGTTCGATTGCACCGGCAAGTTGGTAGATTGCTGGCACTGCATACCCGCGGCCCAACAATCTCCTCCCCAGCACCTTCTAGCCTCAACTGCGGAACATGCTGTTGCCGGGGGTCGAACCCGTGACCTTGACTCTGATACCACTTGTGGATCGTTGTGCTTACCGCTACACTAAAAGCAATCGCTGATAGTGTAGCACGCCCCTCTCTTTATAGCACAAGCAAAACGCCATGCGGTTGGATTGCACCGGCAGGCTGGCAGATTGCTGGCACCGCATACCCGCGGCCCAACAAATGCACCCGGCCCAGACCCGGGCAACGGGCCGGGCCGGTTCGTAACAGTACCGGGCCAAGCCGGTTTTGGTCCAGTTGACCCGGCCCGAGTCCGTCCCTACTTTAGAAGGCCCAGGTTCTTTGTAATACTGATGAACTTTTAACTACAATAAATAAATAACGTTTCACATAAATATACTATGGTATTATATAAAGACTATGTATATAAACACAAATACACTTTGAGAAACTATAAAACTTTTTCCTCTCCTCCTTCCTCTTGGATAAATTTAATTGTATTGATACAGTGTGATCTAGCTTGTTCTTAGAGTGTTTAAGAGTATAAATTTATGGTACATGATCTGATCTAGTGTGATCTTTTTTTTTTTAATTTTTTGTTTGATTTTTTCAAGTCTGGTTGAGTTTTAACATATTAAAGATTCACGGAATTGAAGTGCATGATTTTATACTCTTCTTCCCAAGCTAAAGTTCTCGCTTGCAATTTTTAGATGTTATTAGGGATATGTCAAGGTACTCTTTCAATTTATAAAAACTTATTGGTATTAAGAACTCCTTTGATAATATCTATTTTTAATTTACTGACCTTATCAATCAATTTTTTATAAGATTTGTCCATAAAGAATATAAAGATAAATGTTATAAACAAATATATGACCGGTTTTTAAAAATTCCAAAAATTAGACTAAACTCCTACTACTGACAATGACCAATTCAAACAGTGACTAATCTGACCAGTGACCAACTCGATCAGTGACCAAAACAACTAGTAACCATGATCAACCCGTCAAGTTATCATGATAAATCCGACCAGTGACCAACCCAATTGGGACCAATTCGGTCAGTGACCAACCAAACCACTGTTCAGTGACCAACAAGCAACCGTGACCAATTCGATAATGACCCGACCATGACCAATTTGATAATGACCCGACCATGACCAATTTGGCCATGACCAACGCGGCCATTGACCACACCGGTAGTGATCAACCATTGCCCATGCCTCGGCTGCCACCGCCGCACATGCTTCGGATACTGCCGGATCGGCCTTACAATCCTTACCCCACCCTCATCGGTGCCCAAAATCTTGTCTGGACTTCCTCCCCTACCTCAGGCAACCAGGCCCGTCACCTCCGCCCACCATTTCCCCTCCCCTGCTCCAGACGGGTGCAGATCTGATAATTAATGTTGCCGTTGTTTGAGTATTGTCTTATATGCTTTCTTGTTATCAATATAATAGCCGCTCCATATTAAAAAAAAGATCTTTTTCCTATGTTTTTATGCTCAACAATTTAATTTAGTTAAATTTTGTGCTAAATAGGAGTAATAGCATGGTTCTTTCTCTAAGTAAGAGTGTCATGTTTCTCTCACTAATTAAGACAAAACATTATCATGACAAATACTGATAGTATTATGATATTAATGCATGATAGTGTCGTAATGTAGTATGATACTCCATCCGTTCCAGTTTAGGTTCTGAATTCCTTTTTTGAACGTCTTAGTTACAGGTTCACATTTCTATTTAAAAAAATAATTAGCACTTTTAAATGATTATTTGATCATAAATATTAAAAATGATACATCTATGACATTACAATTATCATCAATGATCTCATTATTATATTATGTATTTAACTATACTAGTTTTCAAAATGTATTCAAATCTACTTATTTAACTATGGAAATGATTGTGCCATTTTACCATCCAAATTTTCAGCCGGGAGTAGTACTATGATTTTAAGATATGAGACACAAAAGTCAAATATGCAAACTTTAGAAGGTGTTTAAAGGAGGTAAAATGGGCTGATCAACATGAAACATCAAGAAACACTAAACAATCATTAAATGGACTTATTTGATTGATTTCTATATATTATCAGCAGAAAAAATAGCCTTCGAGTTACTCTATCAGCTGATTTGTATTTTTCTATGGTTGAAACGCTAAATCACACTTCTATCCTCTTCAAAACAAGCGGTCAAATATGAGACTCTGGGGCTGGAACGTCAATACCTTTTGGAACTAATATGAAATACGTAGTATGCAAAACAAATTATTGGGCTTTTTGAAAAATATACAAAAATAAAATTTATTTACATAAACATGACTAATAGTTACTACAATGTAGCGTCATAATAACTTAAGTTTAAAAATTGAACACAAATTACTATGATTCCATTAGCACTCTAATCAGTAGTCACATTCTTTATTTTAGTCATAAATATGTAATTGTTTCAAAACAATGTGGTTAGTAGTGGGTAATGTAAAACTAGTGGCTACTACACAATTATAAATTAAATGAATGCCTTTTCCAAGAAAGTTTTTAAAAATACATATATTGGCAAATGAGCCACATCTCACACATACTAAGATTGGAACAAAGAAGAGTGCTGTGGTGTTTAAGAAAAGTACAGTGATGCGATTGTTACTGAATTGATAAAGTGAGAATAAAGTAAAAATGATTTAGTATAACACAAATATTATCAAATATAGTATGAGACAAATTTAACGAGAGAGACGAAAAAGGAAAAATAGGACAATTATATGAGGAGTTGGGACAAAGGGAGCATATATTTAATATATAAATAGAATAATACCGTTTATGGTAATTATATATTCAATCACCCAATTCAACCAAAATATTACCAAACATTTTTAGAGCTTGTTTGGTGAGCCTATTTTTCGGGTTATCAGGCTTATCAGTCAACTTTTCACCAAACACGTAACTTTATATTCGTGTGATGAATTGTGTAATAATAAGAAAAAGTAAGGTTGGAGTTATTTTTCTAACTGTATTGGCTGAAGTTATTGTAGAGGATCATTTTAGCTATTTTTTAATATAAATTTTTCTTTATTTTATCAATAAAATATACTTTATATATAATTTTTTCATAAATCAGCAAAATCAGCCAATACAGCCACTTCAGTCAAAACTTAATAAATATTTTCAGTGTTACTGTGTTACCGAACAGGGGTTATAGTTTGAAGTCATTTCAACACTTTGAATAGTTTCAAAGTGCCGTTGTAGTCATTACCTAACAGCTCTTAACGTGGAAAATGGAAATCGAGTATTAAGTGTGAAAGAACACATTAGGTCCTAGGTTCGAATCCCGTCAATTGCGATGAGAGGTTACTATGCTAAAAAATGCATACGACCTCTGCAAGTACCGGGAACAGAGCCTCACTTTCTATCTATCAGATTAGTATTATAGTCCAACTTACATCCTCCCAACGTATCGTCCGGTCGGAGTCGGGGGCCCTCTTTTTTATTTTAAGTGTGAAAGAACGTATCCTTGGGGCCCGCCTCTGCCAATCACAACATGCCGACCGTCCCTAGTTACACCTCTAATCCACGTCTTCAACATAATTTATTACAGTACGAAGTACAGATTTAGGATAATATAAGAGATAGTAACAATTCAATTCATGGTTTATTAGGGAAAAAAAAAATCTATAATCTTTTCCTCTGCTTCATCTTCCCCGTCACTCTTTTTTGCTGTCTTATATAATTTGCACCTCTCTCCATTTTCTTGATCATCCCAAAAGCTTAAAGTAAGGTTGGTTTCTTGGTTACTTAATTAGCAAACTCTTCTTCTTTAATTTCTCTGTTACTGTTCTTAGCTTTTCTTTAATTCTGAATTTTAGTCTTTCCTTGAGACACCAGAAACATAATGGCACAACTGCTGCTTCACGGGACGCTCAATGTCTCTGTCTACGAAGTTGACAAGCTAAAGTCGGATTTCCTCCACAACTTTTTTCACAAGGTATTTATTTCATTTCATTCTGATGATTCTTCTCATTTCTGGGATTTTGATCTTAGTTTTTATTTTTTATTTTTGATTCCTCTGTTCATGTTCTTGATCTACATGTTATGATCCAATTTCTGAGCATTTTATTAGTAGCTCCGTTTGTTTGGGCTAGACTGGGAAAATGATTATACTATGCATTATTTTTACTTTAGCAATCAAAGGTAAGTAGGATTGAACGGCAAAATTGAAAATTGTAGATTTATGTCCAAGGAATGGTGTAGTACCTTAAATAAAATACCGTTCCTCTTCCTTCTTATTGTCTCGTATCATATTCATTTGATCAACACAAATCATTCTTAATCTCTTACTTTATATATCAATTTTTTATCAAATTTGATTCTGGTTTTGCCAATTTGTAAAGATTTTAATGTAGTTTCTGAATATGTAATTTTTTT